CTATTCAGTGTCAGAACAAAGAGTGAAACCAGCAGCAGCAGAGGGTTTGCTCACAGCGCCCCGCCCCCAGCCTCTGTCTGGGATCCCTGCTGCTCGGTGGGAGACAGGCGCGTGTCCTCGGTCGAGGCAGTCCAGGCCAGAGCCAAGGCTCTGACGGCTCAGCACACAGACCGTGCAGCTCCCTCCAGCTGTTGGCTAGAGCCGGGGGAGGGCGGGATGGTGAAGCCATGCCAGCGTCTGACGGGCCGCAGTGGGAGGAAGGACTGGGAGCGGGGTGGTTAGCACAGCAGAGGTCGTGGACATCCTTCTAAAAGCTGAAGTACTTAAAGATAAATTTTTAAAGATAAGACCAAGCATAGGGCGCTTGGAACTCCTGAGCAAAGAGAATTTCTCATAAGTGTCCCATGGCCAAGGGAGAGCTGATCAACCTCCACAGAGCTACCTGTGCCCTCCCCCAAGAATACATTCTATGACCAGGACACCCCTGCCCTGGCCCCTAACCCCAAGCCCCCATTTTCACCATCCTCTTCTCCAGCCCCCGTCTCTTCTCTTTTTTGGCGGCTGGCCAGCGTGCGGATCCGAACACTCAGGCCTCCATGTTATGACACCGCGCTCTAACAACCCGGCTAACCAGCCAGCCCTACCCAGCTCCTCTTTCTTCTTTATGCAAAGGCAAGAGGCCAGGAATAAACTCTCTAAATCCCCTGATGTTCGTTGGACGAGTAGTTCAAGATCAGGCACGACTACAACGCAAGGAAACAGACAGAAGGTAAAGGAACATGAGGGAGGGAAGCAAAGATCCCACCCAGAGACCTTAAGGGCAGGATTCGCACCCACAGCCAGTCCCCTGGGCCTGGGGGCAAAAGTGCAGCAGCAGCCGTGGAGGGGGAGAAACGCACAGGTGGTGAGAGGTGGAGTGACAGCACGCTGTGCCAGAGCCCTGCTGCCAGGACCGCCCCACCGTGACCAGCCCTGTAGAGTGAGCCCTGCGCAGCAGCACCTCCATGCCCGGGCACGGGCTCCCACTGACATCTGAACTGTTCTCTCTCCTGACAGCCGCTGCTTTCCTTCTTCTCCTGCGGCGGCTTCTTCACATTTCCCTTTTTATTTTGCACTGGAGAGGAGCACCAAATAACTTTACCTGGTCTCAGCCAGCAACCAAAAAAAAAAAAAAACCCCAAAACCGACAATGTTGCCAGTAACACTAAGGTCCCACACCATCTAGCGGCAAAAGGGAAAAAAACCAAACTTTCTTTTTAATGAAAATTGTCTGAATAAAAAAGAACAATACAAGTTTGAATTTTTATTTAGAAGAATGGGTTACAAAAAACAGCCTATGTTGTCTCAGAGAGCCGACATTGAAGCTTTCCTGGGCGCCCTGAATTCCTGGAGGCCCACAGGAGCCACTCCCACCTTCCTGTGTGCCACCCTGGCTCTTGGCTCTGTCCCACAGAGCTTGGAGATCCAGCCTCATTCTCTTATGAACTGAGGCCACAGAGGGATCGTGAACAGCTCATCAGCACCATCTACTGGACCAAGTTCTTGATCCGTTCGTGGACAGGCATGGCTCACTTTTATCTTGAGTTTCAACACTACTTAGTACATTTCTCATACTCAATAATACATTTGTATTGTGAAATGAGTGGCTATACTATTATTTTTTATAATGACTGTATTGCGATATAGTTCATATACCTTACAATCCACCCATTTAAAGTGTGGAATTCAATGTTTTTTAGCATATCCAGAGTTGTACAACTGTTGCCACGATCAGTTTTAGAACATTTTCATCACCCAGAAAGAACATCCTACTCATTAGCAGTCACCCCCCCATATTCTCCTAGGTAACCACCAATCTGCTTTCTGTCTTTATGAACTTGTCTACTCTGTACTTCCATATAAATGGGACAGATGTGTTCAAGGCTCATCCGTGCTGTGGCATGTGTCTCACTTTATTCCTTTTTATGGCCAAGAACTTCATCCCTTTGTATGGTCAAATAATATTTCATCATGTGGATACACCCCATTTTGTTTATTTGTTCGCCTGTTGACAGACATTTGGGTTGTTTCTGCCTTTTGGCTACTATGAATAATGCTGCTGTAAACATCCATGTCCATGTTTCTGTATGGACATATGTTTTCACTTCTCTTGTGTATACACTTACAAGTGGAACTGCTGGGTCACATGGAAACTCCATATTTAATCATTTGAGGAACTGCTGGACTGTTTTGCAAAGCAGCTGGTCCATTTTACATTTCCACCAGCAGTGTATAAAGGTTGTAATTTCTCCACACTTGAAATGTGACTTTTTGATTCTAGCCATCCCAGTGGGTATGAAGTGGTGTTTCATTGTGATTGGATTTTCATTTCTCTATAGTTAATGTTGTCAAGCATGTTTTCACGTGCTTATTGGTCATTTCTATATTTTCTTTGGAGAAATGTCTATTCAAATCTTTTGCCCATTTTTAAATTGGGTTATTTGTCTTTTTATTATTGAATTGCAATAGTTCATTAAATAATAGACACAAGTTCTTTATTGGATATATAATTTGCAATTTTTTTTCCCATTCTGTGGGTTTTCTTTCCACTTTCTTGATTGTGTCCTTTGAAACATAAACATTTTTGTTTTTGATGAAGTCCAATTTATCTGTTTTTCTTTGGTTGCCTGTCCTTTTGGTGTTATAGCTAAGAAGCCATTGCCTGATAGAAGTTAGGAAGATTCGTGTCTATATTTTTTTAAGAGTTCTATGGGTTTAGCACTTGCATTTAGGTCTTTGACACATTTGGAGTTAATTTTTACACATGGCGTGAGGAACAGGTCCAACTTCATCCTTTGCATGTGGACGTGCAGTTGTCCTGGCACCATCTGGTAAGAAGTCTATTCTCTGCCCCACTAGATTATCTCGGCACCTTTGCTGGAAATCAGTTCTTCGTAAATATGAGAGTTCATTTCCGGACTTTCAATTCTGTCTGACTGTTGTATTTGTGTATCCTTCAGCCAGTAGCACACTTCTTGATAGTTTATGATTATTCTTAAAATTTGCATTTCCCCGTGGCTAATGTTGTCAAGCATCTTTTCATGTGCTTATTGGTTATTTGTATATTTTCTTTGGAGAAATGTCTATTTAAATCTTTTGCCAATTTTTAAATTGGTGTTCTTTGAAAAAATTATGATTATTCTGGTTTATTTCTTTTTTCTTTTTCTTTTTCTTTTTTGATGGCTGGCCAGTGCAGAGATCTGAACCCTAAATGCACAATTTTTCTTTTTTCTTTTTTTTTTTGGCAACTTCCCTGTATGGGGGTGATTGTTCTGGACTTCAAAATTTAAACTATCTTATTCTTTTTTTTTTTGGCAACTTCCCTGTATGGGGGTGATTGTTCTGGACTTCAAAATTTAAACTATCTTATTAGAGTGTTTTGATATACTCTCCTACTTCAAAAAAAGGAAAGGAAATTTCCAAAGTCAAAAACTTCTGGCCTGGGCTGGCTGGTTAGCTCAGTTGGTTAGAGCATGGTGTTGCAACATCAAGGTTAAGCATTCAGATCCCAGTAGGCCAGCCAGAAAAAAACAAACAAAAAAACACTTCTGCCCTGAATGTCAGCCGCTATCCTGCTGACCCCTCCCCAAGCCTGCTCCCCTTCTCCCTCAGCATTCATCCTAATTTCTGTCCTCTCTGCTCCCATGATGACACTGTCTGCCTTTCAGGTCATTCTGGCTGCTTGCTATATTGGCAGCCGGTGACCTTCTCTTCACTCAAAGCCACATGCTTTTCAATATCCGATTGATTGGGTCCTCGGCAACAGTGAAGCCAAGCCCCTGATGTTAGTTGAGGGGCTCAGAGAGGCAAAGTAACTTACTCAAAGTAACACAACTGGGATCTGGCAGGGCTGAACTTGATGTGAGGGCCCTCCTGACATTTGAGCTCGTGAGCTCCCCATGACTATTGCTTCTTATCGGCACCCCTTGCTCAAAGTCATGCATGTGCATGCTTGCAGGGGGAGGGATTTGGTCAGGAAAAGAGAGAGGGAAAGTGGATTCCATCCCTGCATCCACACCCACAGGCTCCAGGCAGGTGCAGCATCCAAGGTAGCCCCCAAAATTCATGGCCAGCTCATGAGCATGGTCCTTTTGCATGGCTCTGAGTTCTTCATTCTACAGAGATCCATGGTCTGAGAAATGCAGGACCTCTCTTGGGTCCTGGCATAATGCTGTGGGAGAGTTATCTCACAGGCATGGACAGGGGAGACCACATGCCCAGCCTGCCACCACCACGGGCTGAGGGTGACTGAGAAGGGAGGAGACCAGAGTCCTGGGCAGGTCCCTCATTCAGAGGCGAGGGAGGGATGGACCCATCGGCGGCTGAAGACAGTGCCAGAGAGGTGGCAGGGAGCCGGAAAGACAGAGCTGCACTCTGGGGTCTTCCAAGTCGGCTGATTCTCAGTCCCCCAATGTCATTTATCACAGCATCATTTATATGTTTATTTTGCCTGCTTTCTTTTTAAAGTACTCTAACTTCAGGAGCTGGTGAAAAGAAGCCCCGCAATACTGCAGAGGATTTTAGGCTTTCCTCACAAATCATTTTTTCTCGTAAAGTGGTTCACCCCACATAGAAATTGTGTGTGTCTGTGTGTGTGTGTGTGTTACCTCACTCTTCTCTCTTCCAAATGTGCCCTTCACACCTGAAAGGTGCACTTACCTTCACAAGGAGCGAAAGAAAGACTACAACCTAGGAATAAAATGAATTACGTTCTTTAAAGACAAACTTGTTAACTTGGTTTCTGTCTTATTAAAATGTGTTAGCATTGAAAATGAAGTGTTTGGAGAAAGAGGTAGCAAAAAAAAAAAAGACATTTCTAGTTCTACCACCTTCTGTTATTTTAGTCTTAACTGAATCAAAACAGCTGTGTTGGGTAACAGCCTTCCTTTGACTATTTGAAAGGTGAAAGTCCAAAAGCCAGTGTTTATTTTCAATTGTCCCTCCCCATCAACTCTTCACAGGCTCATCTCTCCTTGCTTGGTTGCTGCCACTTGAGGGGGGATGTCCCCTCGTTCTCACCACCCCCCGGCCTGTTAGAGAGCGTCTTCCAATACATTGATCTCCACCAGAATGAATTTGTGCAGGTAGGAGAAACCATACGTACAAAAAGCTTGGATTATGCCCCTTGGTATCTGGGTGAAATGATTATTTGCTGGGAGATGTGGATTTTTTGGCCTGACAACTTAATTACATTTAAAATGCCTATGACTCCTCTTTAATCAGTATTCACTAGATCTATGTAAGAGATCCCTCCTGACCACTCCTTGTAAAGGGGGCACTCTCAGCTCATTCCAGCACACCTGATCTAGGGACATCCATTGAGAGATGACCAGCAGACTCTGCTGGGCTCACGTTTACTCTGGTCCGTCAGATTAACCTGTAAATAAAACCACCTGGCTCTAGGTGAGGTCCAGACAGAGCTGGAGAGCTGGAGAGCTCTGCAAAGTTCAGTGTCAGTGTTTGTTTAAGGCTCACCTTTACTCCTAGCTCACCCTACGCTGTCTGCACATGGCATGGGCATGAATGCGGGGGAGGAGGGGGAAAGAGGGAGCAGAAGAGGACAGGGAGGAGTGAGTGGGAGGAGCAGGAGCTGCTGTGTCCTGCAGTCTCATCCCCCTCTCCTGGGCTCCCTCAGCCCCACCTGGGCATCTGGGCCACCACCACAGCCCCTACACTGAGGGCAATTGTTTGTGCTCAGCAGCCTGGGAGCTCCTCAAGGTCTCCTGTCTCGCATGTGATAGGTGTTCAATATACGTTTATTGGATCAATCAACCAATTTCAGGAATATCATTGTGCGAACAAGTAGATGTGCAACCTTTGTGTTTCATGCTAAAGGCACGAAGCCGGATGTCCGGACCACTGTTCCTAAGCTTGACCATCATGTAATCCTTCCTCTTACTGTAATATAAACTTGACATAAATGTCTCTTGGATTTTCAGAACGGGATTTCCAGAACAGGCTGGAATTAACAGGGGGCTTAGAAATGGCGTGTGGTGGGGATCAATGCTGATTTGGGCCTTTCAGCCAAAACGCTTCCTCTTCCCAAGTTCCTCAAACGTACCCAAATCCATGTGGTTTAGGGAGAACTCAGAAACACTACTCTATGAAGTTCAGTTTAAAAATGTAAAACACAACATTCAGTTAAGATTAAATAAATTCCTGTATAATAAAAGTAAAAGTGCTGTAACTAGGATAGAGAGAGTAAACCAAAATAAGTGAGGGAGGGGAATCCAAGGTCAGTCACCCAAAATAATGTAGTTTTCATTAAAACGATGCCTATCCCAATATAAGCCACTCAGGTGCCAACATGTGGATGTGAATGATTATTATTAATTCAACATTAGCCAGCATTTACTGAGTGTCTGCTGGGTGCTAAGTCTCACACACACATTATCTCAGTTAAGCTCCACCAGAACTCTCCTAGCACAAATGAGAAAACTGAGGCTAAGAGAGGTTGAGGAACATAGCTAGAGTCACACGGCTATATCAGACAGGACCAGGGTCAGGAACTGCAGCTGCCACCTACATCTGAGGAGTTTAGCACTGGGTCAGGCTGCCCACTGGGTCCTAGAGGTACAGGGAGGGCCAGCCACAAAACCTAAGTGCAAAGGTGTCAGGAGGAGCCCTGCAGCACAGCTGAGGTTAAATCCATGTGACCTAAGTGACCCAGAGGCCTCCAGGGGCATTTGTGGGAAGACAAGAGTCCTGGAGAAAGCCTGGCTGCCCAGCTGGGGAGAGCCCGCCAGCTCTTGGTTCATTTTTTTTTTTTTTTTTTTTTTTTTTTTGTGGCTGGCTGGTAGGTGGACCCGAACCCTTGACTTTGGTGTTATAAGACTGTGCTGTAACCAACTGAGCTAACCAGCCAGCCCTCTCAGTTCTTAATGACTAGGAATAGCGGGTAGGAACTCGCCCCTCTTTGCAACCCTGCAGGACCCAGTGAGGGCTCAGGCCGGGTGTTAGGAAGAAGCTTCCTCCCACCTGTCCTGCCTAGTCTGTATTAACCAGGCGTCTCTGGCCTCCAGGTTCTAACCAGCCCCCAGCTTGTCGGCCGGACGCTTTTGATGTCGCAGTGTTTACCAGCATGGTCTCCAGGGCTTGAGCCCCTATAGAGCACCCAGGGACCTGCCATCTGCTGCCATCTCCTGTCCTTGCGCTGTCCCCACCCCCAGTGGACATGGGGTCGCCCCTCATGCTGGCCCCCTCATTGCTTTTACTCATAGTCATTGCTTTTACTCATAGACGCTGAATGAGTGGGTGGCCGTTGAGATTGACGCTGTTCAACCCACACCTCGCTTCAGACAGGAGCTCTTCCGAATGATGGACGTGGCTGCAGACAAGCTCCAGAGCCTGGGGGCCAGTGTGGACGCCATGGACATGGGTACCCAGCAGGTGCGGACAGTCTCCCTGCGACCTAAGGAGCCACCACCCTATGGACATCAGCCATGCGTCCATCTGGTGGTGGGCTGACCCTGATCCTCAACCAAAATCCCCATAATCTCGATTCCCAATAATGAGGAAACATTCCACCTCGTGTCTAGATTGTCTTATGATTTCTAGTCATGTCAGGACTCTGGGGGTGGGGGTGGGGCTGGACGCAGGTGGAGCAAAGGTCCAATGGTATGGAAAGGACCCCCCCTCACTATTCACTTCTTGTTCACATGGTTCAAATGACCCCCAAATTGTCCTTCCCCCTAAATTCATATGCATTTTTATCAAAGGGTCCATATACAGAGCTGCATTCTTTCATGAGAATCAAGGCTACATTGTGACGGCAACCTGAACCTTAAATGTCCCCTGCCACCTGCTTTAGCGTTGATGAACCTAGGAGTGGTCCATGTTTTCTGGGACTCTGATGGCCTAATTTAAGCCAGTTGAGATCTGAATTTGTATGCAAGATCACGTTCAAATAACTATACTATTGTCAATGTGTATAAAGGAAGTATTTTACTTTCAATTATGTTTTGTATTTTAATTAAAAGTGTCTCATGTTACCCATTTTAGAGATGGAGAAAGTGATGCTCAGAAAAATGATGTGGGCTCTACAGGGCCCAAGGGGTAGAATGGGAAGGATTCCTCATGTCAAGTCTCTGAATTTTCAGGAAGAACAATACAGCATTTTTTAAAAAATGTGATCCATTATCTTTCTGCAGCTGCCTGATGGTCAGAGCCTTCCCATACCTCCCGTCATACTGGCTGAACTGGGGAACAATCTGAAGAAACCCGCTGTGTGCTTCTACAGCCACTTGGACGTGCAGCCTGCTAAACAGGAGGACAGGTGGCTCACAGACCCTTACACACTGACGGTGGTGATGGGCTGAGCTGGCCCATGATAAGGGCTTGCTTACTAGGTTTAGGAATTTAAGATGTGACTCTGCCCCTAGGCTCTAGGTCTTAACTTGTCATTGTTAAGGATGAATAGAAATGTTGCTGTCATAGTCTACACGCTGGGTCAGTGAAGCTGATTTCCTTTCACTTGTGAAAGAAACTAAGAAACTTTGTGCTCTGGATGGGGGATCTTTGGTTGTGACGAAAATAGTCTTCTAGGTCACACATTTTCCTTTTTAAAAATAACACATGTAGTTCATATCTTATAAAGAAAAGAGAAAGTTTAATAGAGATATGCATGTATCTTTTTTTCATTCTTCTGCTAATTGTAAAATGTCACAATGACAGGCCAGAGCCTCAAATCCTCGGGTCCTTTCTTGGTTGCCAGTGAAATAGCTAATTACCATGAAGGTCAATGGGATCTGTATATTTCACATCAGCTTATTTTATCTGACTAGCTGATGACCACACTATCTGCCCATAAGAAATCGTACTTTGTCATTTCAGAGCAAGATCTGTGCCTGGAATATTAGAAAACACCTCAAATTGCTACCCATAAAAAGACATTGGTTTTTAACTCGCTCAACAGAGGTGTCTATGCTCTTCTGAAAATTCTTCTCCCATTTCTTTTTTTTTTTTTTTTTTTTTTTTTTTTTCAATAT